CGATTCAAAGCATTTCCCCATGCAGGCAAGGGGCAATTTGGATGAGAAAGCTGCAGGTGACTTTGATCGGAACAACAAAGACTACCTTTTTGCTGGCCCTCCCCTTCAAGACATTTCCCCACTAGCCCCCCCCCAAGATTGCCCCAGGTGCTATGTCTATGATACTTTAGAGGGAACACATATGCATACATCATACATATTATGTGTAGACAGTTTTTGGACCCTTGACACCTCTTGTCGGAATCTCCTCCAGCATTATAGCCCGCAGGTAGCTGCGGGCGCCTTTCTGATGCCAGGCCTCCAACAGCCGCTGCACCGCTCGCTGCGCGAAAGGGCTCTCCAAGCTCGCCAGCCACTTTGACAACGCGGTGTGCGCGCCTCGAAATCGGTTCTGAAAGGGGGTGTTGCCGTTGACACATCCTTGATTGCTCCATGCTGGACATCTCTGCTCACTTTGGCAGCCCCGAACATCTATCAACTCTGAACATGCTAACCAATATCTACTGGACACTTGCTGCAAAACCACAACACCAGGAGTCATTTTCTCACTAACAATGGTCGACCCAGGTTTGCGCTCCTGAGCCCAGGCCGGCAACTCAATACCAAACAACAAGCACGAAAGCGTGACTGCACAAAACCAGGTAGAACAACCCACTACGCTCTTGGCCACCTGCGACTGCCATTGTTCTCCCTGCGCCTTTCTGATGTAGGATGTGAGCAGGGCCATGTTGAGATCTACAGGTACCCTTTTCAGGTTGCCGTTAAAGGGATGGCCGGAAAAAGCTGCCCATGCTAAGGGCTCGCCAAACCAAACATGAGGCCAATGGCCCCTATATGCCCCCAATAGTCTTCGTGCGCCTACGCGACATACACTGAAGTCCAGCTCTTTCGCAATGCACATGTCTCGCGCAAGCATGCCAGGGGAAACCAGATGATGCCTTGTAAGGCTTGGTTGAGAAGCCCTTAAAGGCCTTAAAGCAGGGCAGCTGAGTCAAACAAAATGCCGGCCCAGGCGCACTTCAGAATGGGGAAAACTGAAATCGGCACCATCTCGGGGCAGAAAAGTTGGGCATCCTTGCCCTGCGCGTGGTTCACCACAGGCACTGGGTGAACCCCGCAATGCGTTAAGGAATAGACACCTCCGTCCAAACGCACGGAGCAAACTCCAGATCCTTTGGAGTGTGAGTCCTCGGCAAAAGGATCAACCCAAACAAAAACAATTCAAGCTCAAAATTGAATCCTGACGGGAAATGACCACAAATCCACTAATCCAAACCACCTCTCTTTGACAAATTCGCTTCAGCATGTTCGTAGCACAGGCAATGGCCATGGGAGCTGGCAGAAGAAGGTAGCCTTGAGAAACCGGGAAGGTACCCTCAAGACAAACACCACGTGACCAAGAAGCGGCGAAACTATGAAGGGGGCGTTTTTACGTGGGGATGACTTCGCCAGATTTTAGAGGGTGCTCAAGGTAGCTTCCACAATGATGCCTAAAGCTTGCAAAGGCCCCCAAAGGCTTCAACGAGCGTCCAGTTCTCCCTCAAAACATCCGAGGGAAAACCTGCACAAACCCTGTTCTAAATTGGGATAATCCGTGAAACTAACGATTTCTTGGCTCAAATCTGGCCAGCCTGTAGGGTGTGTCTGCAATTCAGGGAACTCCCAAGATGCTTGATTGCCCTTTGGCTAAGCCGGAGTGGGCAACCCCGCAATGGCTGTGTGTTTCTTTGTGGCTACGTCGTTTTTGAGGGAAACAAGAGGACACCCAAGACAATTGAGACAAACCCTTGTTGGTGCGACAAGTAGGGAATGTGGAAATGAACCCAGGGATTCCATTCAAGGAAGCCACCAGTTGGATGGTTTATAAGGGTCATACCATTTCTCATTCCCTGCCTATCGCGCCAGCGAGAGGGAAACAAAAGGAAACAAATACATTTTGAGGGAAACAAAAACAAATACATGTTTGAGGGAAACAAAAGGAACCCCACACATTTTGAAACAAACCCAAATGGGTTTTGGGTTGCGCAAGCCATCAATTCCTCATCAAGCCTCACACCCGGCACTGTCGCAAGCGCTGACAGCTGGGGACCAGCTCTCACGGAGGCAGCGGGTCAAGTAGCCCTTGTCGTTGAAGGCCACGCAACTCCTTCCGACCGCTTCGAATCGTGATTGGCGCTAGGCCCTCCCTATGTGACGGTATGAGGGTTGCCCATTCCTTGCTCCGAAAACTGCCTTCCGCCTGGCCGTTCCGCGAATCTTCCACGATGCAGGTAGAACCATGTGTAGGTTTCCGGAAAGCAAAAGCAAAGCAAGCCAAGAGGAAGAGCTAGAGCAGGAAACAAGAAGTAGAATAGCTCGGTTGCTTTCTGATCCCCTGCTAAAAGTGACTCACTTTTAGTGGTTTAGTGGAAAACCCATTAGTTGGATCAAAAAGCTAAAGTCCTAACAGCCCTTGGCAAAATGCACCTTAGATTAGGAATGCGGGGGACTGCGCGCACTTCGACCACTCGAGCTGGCCCCAGACATTGGGAGGTCTCGTTTCGGACTCACGCAGGCATCGTTTGGGGTATCGTTCTCAGCTCAGTACAAGAGCAATGCCGGGGTTTTGGTCGCAGACATGCACTATATAAGTGTGAACTTATGCATTATCCTATTTGTATGCAGTAGCCCTTAGTATATAGATTGTCAGTATCATCATGAGGTGTTGTTGTATCCTTTGATTGTTGTATGGTTTGCTTCACGCATGGCCGGCAGTAGGCGTGAAAAGGTGTGATAACTCTACTCCAGGGATCCTCCCACAGACAAAAGGTATGGCTGATGATGGCCGGCAACGGCGGCACTCTTGCAAATGTTGGCTGATCGCGTCTTTAAGGCGCAGGTCCGCCATCTTGTTTTCATTATCCCATTTCAAACTGGCACAAGCCGCTTCAAGAAGTCTGCTAGCCCACAGGCCCACACCCAGCTCGGATTCAACTCCGACTCAAGGAGTGCTGGAAATCCCACCCAGCCAAGAAAAACAGGGCTCAAAAACGAATGAAAGCACAAAGCAGACCACTGACACACACACAAATTGCAATCCAACACGGGCCCGGATGAGAAGAAACAAGGGTCTTGAGGCTGAACATTCTTGCTCTTGGACGAACCTCAGCTGAACAAATTCTGATCAGCTTTTGCTAGTTCATTGTACTCGCCCTGACTCATTGCCTGAAAATCTGCCCCTTTCAAACTGCTCAGAGGCTTTGCAAGGCAACTCCGTGGCTGTTTTGAACACTTACACTGAAGGGGTCTTTGCAGCCTAGTTCTAAAAACTGAAATGAATTATTCTTGTGAGTTCAGCTACCAGCAATGTAGGCTGGCCGGAAGCTAGTAGCTCTACCAGTAGCTCTACCAGTAGCAGTGCCAGTAGCAGTGCCAGTAGCGGTAGTGGCAGTAGCTGTAAGAGTGGTAGTAGTGACAGTGGTAGTGGCAAGGGGCGGGGGCTACGCTGAGGCTACACGGACGGAGCGAAGCAACTTCTGGCCAGCGCGGAACACATCAAATAAGCTCCTTTTCTTTGTAAGATGCAAAGTTTCTACAGTGCCCTTAGCTGGTTGAAAACCCAGTGGCCACGCGGCCCATTATCGAAACTTGCCCTTGCGCGCAGGCGAGGACAAAGGCTACGCGGTCACCATGGCAGCTCCCCTCTCATGTTTGGCTCCTTCATTTGCCGACAAAAACATGCTGCTCAAAGTATGGGTGTCAACTTCAAGGGTCGACGCCTTAAAGGTCCAAATCCCTGTTTGGACGCCGTCCACATACACGCTTTGGCATAGATGGAGATGTGCCTCTGCCGGCTTTAAGAACCCCACCTGCAACCCTTCTTGACATCTTATTGCATCTCTCTCTCTCTCTCTCCTCTCTCTCTCCCTCTCCCTGACGTCACCAGAATCTCAGCATGCCACCTTTGGGAACCCAGGGCTGAGCCCCCTTAGATGGCTAGCGCCTCTCCCCAAGCGGACTGATGCGACTGCTGCGACTTGACTCGCTTGCTTTCTGCTCCCCCAAAAGTGACTCACTTTTGGTTGTTCACTAGAAAGCCCACTAGTTGGATCAAAAAGCTAAAGTCCGAAATCCCTTGGCAAACTGCAAGTTGATGCGACTCGCGCCTCGAGGTCTCGCTGGCCAACTTCTCCATGGCCAGTGCCGGGAAGTCGCTCCAGGGGCCCATGGAGCCATGAAGCTGCCGCGCCAGCTGCGGCCAGCCCATGGCTCCGGGGGCTAAAAGCAAAAAACCGCCCTGGCCGTAAGGGGAACCCAAACAAGGTTCGGGAAAAACACATGGGCGTTTGAGTGTTTGAAAGTGTTTGGAGTTGGCTTACACCAACACAAGGGCGTTATGGTGGTTGAAGCATGTTGAGGCAGGGCGGCTCAACCCTGTGACTCCGTGCTCACAAACTCACGCGAGGGATTGGACGATTGGACTGGAAGGTGGAACAGTCTGCAAGAAGCGGCAGGCAAGGATGCGCACTTGTTCGGCGCTTCTCCCGGATGGCAAGAGACATGTGCACACAGCACACATTCCTTTGACACCTGGCAGGTTCACAAATAATTGTCATTCATCGTGAATGAAACCTAACATACGACAGCACAACTTACACACATGATGGACCCCTGGAAGGCTGTGAGCTTCTATTTGCCCATTTCATGCAGGGACCGTGCAATGGAATCACACGAGACCTGCGGTCGACTGGCCTTGTATCAATCCGGCAAGGGTGCCCTTTAGGGGTGCCTTCACTGGCCGCCTGGCCAAGTCACCAGGAACCCTTGTTGCAAAGGCTTCGCGTTCAGGTCAAAAAACCGCCCTTGCGAGACCAAGCCACTCATTTTTCTCTCAGGCTCGCTCGCTCGGGGAGCTTGGGGAGCTTGGGGTGCTTGGGGCGCAAGCGCGGCAACCCGATCTGTTTTGGGGCAAACCTGCGCGAACAGGAAGCAGCCCTGGTCGGCCTTTGCAAGCAGGTGGCAGGACCCTCGGCGACGCGGACATCCAGAATGTTGCCTCGGTTGTAAAACTTCCATTTGCTTAAGCCCCCTGGAAAAAAGGAAAAACATATGTGCAGTAGTGATCGATTCCTTTTAAAACCGACAGGGGAAAATAAACAATAATCTTAAACAAATGGAAGGTTTGAAAGAAGAGAGCCCGCCGCCGCTCAAGATGTAAATATGAAGGTGCCAGTGCGGTTCTAGCTATTCACCAGGAGCCTGAATGCGCGGCGACTGCCAACGAAATGAATAATGACGGTTGACACTCCAAACAAGTGGAATGCCGCAACTGCCTTGGGTACTGCATCTGGGAATAAAGGGCCTGAAGATTCGCATGGCTCCACCGTGCTCCGTCATCCGCTCATTGTTTCAGAAAGATATCAAAACAACATGTTATGATTCATGCAGGAAACGAGATCAAAAGGCTGGATTTGGAGTCAGGGCATAGCAAATGGGTGTCTCTCAACATAGGGATGTGCACCCTCCCCCCCAAAATGGGTGGTATCCCCGTGGTCTCTCCTCGTACCAACTCCAAAATGGGTACCTCAAAAACACAGCCCCATCTGCAACTGGGCGGCAGGTCAGGATGGTCGCAAGCAGGGCGCTGGTCTGTGCATGGCCACTGGGCATGCCGCTCCTGGGCGAAAATGACATGCAAACATCCACCAAAGCTGACGCAAGTAGACTCCTCAAAAATGAATGGCTTGAGGGCCCCATGTTAAGATGTCATGAGGTACCGCATGCCTCGCTGCTGCTCAAGTCGGAGGTTCCTCCCCCAAATGGTAACGTTCAACGTGGAACATCAAGCTTGAGTTGTTCCGTGATGCACTTTCACGCGAGGGCGCGCTCATCAGACCTGGATGGCACGACAGTACCAGCTGCATGGTGCTCCCGCCACCCATTCAACTTGCATTTCTTAACCCTGAATGGACAACTTTCTGACAAAGCTTGCGCAACTGCAAGTGCCACCCTTTCTTGGCAACTCAGGTATTCAAAGCGCGGCCTCATGATCTGCTATACTGGTACCTTTGCAACTGGCCCGCCCGGTTTCCATAAAGACTACGCACGTGAGCCCAGCCTAGCCACCAGCGCGGTTGACAATCATCTCACCATGCCATCCCACTACTCTTACCAACCGCAAGGAATCACGGCCTGGCCACCTCCCTGCAACGAGACGCGATGAACTTACTCTGGGGAAGTGCTGCGGGTAGATGCCACCTCAAAGCCAAGCCACGCCATACATGTCTGCCTTGCACAACTAGGTCCTGCAGTTGAATAAGGGTACCCTTTTTTCTGTAGTTTAATTTTAGTGGGGGAACCCTGCCCCCCCAAAAAAGGTAAACGGGCACTGCGAAAAAACCTAGACAAACACCAGCTTCTTCTTCTTGTCGGCTGCATGCAGTGTGGAACGATGCCCTGGGAGCGGAAGAGCTCGCGCGATTTCGTTTCAGAGCGGGCGGCACCAGAACCTGCCTGTGGGGTTGTGAGCGACGGGGGTTTGAAAGTGCATCTCTGTGCATCCCTGTGACTACGAACAGTCAGACAGACGGGTTTTCGAAGGAGATTACCCTAAGTTTCACCATTTCTGTGACGATCAGCAGTCACCACCGGGCGGGGGGGGGGGTCAGGCATGGAGCAGCCAGTCATCAAGTGCTATTGTCGCAGATGTCGCAAAGAAAGTCTAATTTCAATCGCCCTTGTTTCAAAAAAGATGAAACAAATCAGTAACTAGGCCGGCCGACTGACTGTTCTATGAACAAGAGTGATTGGAATTGCAGCTCTTCTGCAACAGTTGGGACAATTGCACTTCTGTCACCGTCTCCTCTGATTGAACACGAAGAGAAAACAAAACCTTGGGGTTTCACTCTATTTCTCAACACTCCGGCCCTGAAACCGGAGCCTTTTGGCGCATGCAATTTGCGTGCATTGTCTACCTAAAGAAAGGATTTCGTTGGATTTCCGGGTAGACGGATTTGTGCTCCGCCCAACTATCTTGCAGTCGCGTGCAAGACCGTGATGTGCACGCATGATCAGCCTGAAGGCAAAGAGGTAAAGGTTTCTTATGCACGCGGATTTGTCTGGGGTCTACTTGGCTTTTGTTTCAATCGCCGAAGGATCAGCAGCGTGCCCACCTGCTCAAAGCAACACTCAACACACTGCCCACTCTCCATCCGCTTTCAGCACACCGTGTTTGTCACTGGCAGTTGATCAAGTTGGTCAAGCCGCGTTTGTTTGCGCATCCCCGCGCCCTCAAAATGCCAGACGCTGCCTGCGGCAAGCTGAGCACCGTACTGTCCGCAGCTCCTCTAGGTCTGCGGAGTAGCAGGGCCTCCGAGCCAACAGCCCTCATGGAGAACCCAGGGGACCGGGGGCTGCCGAAATGGGCTTGAATAGCCTCGAAAAACGGAAAAACAACACAAACAAAAACAACACCTATGGCAACTGCATCCCCATCAGCTTGATCTGGCTACCCACAAACAGCCTCTTTGCCGATCACTCGCGTGGAAAGGAACTTGAAGAGGGCATTCAGGATCTCGTTTGTCAGGAGGCACACCTCGCAGCTGAACGCCGCGCAAACATCTTGCCGTGTCAGATGTGACACGTCTGTGGGAATGCTGCTACGAGATTTGGGGAGGTGTGGTCCGTGTCTGTGTGCGCAACATGCGTCCTATTCACCACTTGCAGGCGTTAATGTTGACAGTGTATTAGTAATCCCCCCCCTATTAATCCGGTCCGGGTGGACCCCCCCAATACTAAACAATTCATATCTCAGAAAAACCCCCCTCAATAAAAAATAATCCAAAACAACCCCCCCCAATTAGACCGGTCCCTGCCCCAGATGGCCGCTGCTATCTCATTTTCTCCACTGCTTCTTGAGCTCATTTCTTAGAAATGGCTGAACATGTCATCCATATTGACAACTCACATTCATAGCATGTACTCTGCACATATGCTTCTTCCTAATCTCTTGCCTTCCCTCCTCATCCAATAGGCTGCGCACTCAATGCTGCATGATAAGCAGCCTGATTGGAACCTGCATCTACTGCACACTCCCACCTCATAGTGTTGGAGTTTCTCAATGGCCTTGTGATACTCTGCAGGCAAATCTGAAATCTGCAGCTTGGAATTCTCATTCACAATGGCCATGGCCTCAATCTGCAATGAAGTCAATGCCTCACCCTTCTTCATTTTGTTGCATGCCAGATCATAAGTCTTCTTTCTTTCCTGCATGACCTTCTGGCCATACTTCTCCAATAGAGCAATGCCATTGGTAACCTCTTTCTTCTTCATGTCTATCTCCTTCTGCAACTGGGGCATGAATTTCTGCATCCTGGCATGCCAAGCTTGCATGGCCTCTTCAGGCCACCCAATGGCAGCAGGGCCATGTCCAGTCAACATGGCAACCTCCATTTCCAAGTAGGTCATGATATACCATCCACACAGATTGGAGCCAATTGGCTGCCTGATGCTGGCATTGGTTCTATCCAATGGAGGCCTCATCAAAAAGTCCTCATCCACGATTTCGTTGTTCAAAAGCCATGCCAAAATGGCATGTGCCTTGTGCAAGCATGGCTCACTCATAGTTGTCAGTGTCTCATAATATCTGATCTGCTCCTGCTTGGATATGCCTGGTCTCAAATCCACTACCAGGAGCACAATATGGTGACCAGCAGCAAATGGCATGAGAAAGCATTTGGCCTCAGGGTTGTCAAAAAAGTCAAACAAACAATGGTCAACAAATGCAACCCTGCTGTGCCTTGCCCTTCATCTTCTTCAGCACATATGAACTGATGCCCTCTTGGTTCATGTATTGAGCATCCTCAGATAGAATGCCATGCAGCGCAGTTGGATGGATGAACTCCACATCCTGGATGTCTTCCATTGTCTTTTTTGTAGCCATCCATCTAATGAGACCATAAGCAATGACCACAGTCTCAATGTCCACATCTGAATGGTCTTTCCTCAGATCAGCCAATGAAAAAACATGCTCAGCACAGACCGGACTAATAAGGGGGGGGGGGGTAAACAAATGGGTCCAAAAATGCTAACTAATATTAGCACAAAAGCTTGATGACTTCCAGCTCACCCCATGAGTCCAGCAATGCAGGGTCTTCAAATATGATCCCTGCATCTAGCAGGATATCATGCTTGTGCCATCTCTGCAATGTCAGCTGGTGCCATTTCCATTGCTTCTTATCCCCTCCCACTGGCTCCAGGTAGCTCCTATCCACCCATGCAGTCCTACTCTTTTTATGAAGCCCATCAGCTTCAAGGAGCACATGCAATGCTTTCTCTGATGCCCCCATGGCAGTGCCTTGCCTACCAAACAATGAAGGGCCAGCATGCTCACTCACCACTCTCAGCTTGGAAGAAGGAATGTCCAACTCATGCTCTTCCAATGGCGCTGGGGGGGATGATGGTGGTGGCAATGGGGGCTCATCAGGCAATGGCTTTGCTTTGGCTGGATGTGAAGCTAATGCCTTGGGCTGCTGCTGCTTATCCTCAATCTTCTCTTTGGCTTTGGTGGCAGCAATCTTTCTGATTCTGTCTTTGAGCTGATTTTTCTTCATCTTCTTTGCAAGCTTTGTCTTCTTCGCAGTGATCTTCTTTTTTTTGGTGGATGCTGATGGCACTTGGGCAATCATTTGCTCATGCCTGCTGTCAGTCATCAAAGCCTTCTTGATATCTTCCTTCTCATCAGCTTCTAATGTCTTTGCTTGCTTTCTCTCCTCTTTTCTCTTTGCCTTCTTTGCTTTCATCTTTTCTTTTTGTTTTCTGGCCTCATCACTCATCTGCATGTCCTTCAACATGGCCTTTCTTCTCAAATCCAATGGCAGCTGAAACTCACCAGCCTGCACCCATTCTGGCATGTCCTCATCCTCAAGAGCTGGCATGTCAGCATGTGATGGTGTTGGCTGTGCATAATCCCATTCTATGAGATCACTCAGCTCCTTGGCTCCATCTATCCTCTCCCAATTGGGCTCATTGATTGTGCAGCCTTCATCAAGAACTCGTGCTGAACTCACATGGTGGCATCATGACTTTCTCATGCACAAGCTTGCCAAAAGAGATGCATCAGAATTGCAAGACATGTTTGCCAGACCTGAAGAAGCAGTCCAGCATATGAACTCATGTGTTCTGATCAAGTGCCTCTTTGGGCAAAGAGGCAGACCATGAGACAAGTCTTTGCAAAGCATGAGACAAGGCAAGGTGCAAAGCCAACACATGAGGTCAGGAAGCAATTGGCAGATGAGCTTTCCAAACAAGCCATGCAAAAGGGACTGCAGCAGCCAGCCATAGCTGATGACAATGAGCATGAGCAAGGCATTGTGCCTGCTGGCGAGGCTGCCACTGAGAGCTCATGGAAGATGAGCATGCCATTGCCTGATGGCAGCACTGGCAAGATGCATCCCACAACCATGAGGGAGGCAAACACTGATAAGTTCAGAGTGACATTTGAAGCTCATCAGTATGTGACTGGATGGTTTGACCCAAATGCAGAACCTCAAGGACATGTTGCCAAAGGAATTTTGGTAGTGGCAGGGCAACATGCAAGATTGTCCAACATTGGGCCTGATGACAGATGGCTGCATGATGAGACAATTGAATATGCTGGCAAAATCAGAAAGCACATTGCTGGTGAGAAGTGTGGGAGAGCATTGGAAGGATGGAGAAAGATTCGAGCATCCCATCCACATCTTTTTCGACATTTCACAGTTATGTCACAACCATCGTGCAACATGGACAGCATCTGCATGGCATGGAACATTCAAGACAGTGCACATGAGATGCCAGTGTCACTCTACCAACGTGATGCATATGGGGCAGCATTCAGTGATAGCACCACAAAGATGAGATATTTATCTCATCAAGCACAATCAACAATACAGCCAAAGATGACCAGTGCCATGCAGCTGACAGATACAGATTTCAGCCATCAGTTCAAGGCAGCAATGAAATTACACATTGATAGGAAGGTGGAGGACATGCAGAGAAATTCCACAGAATTGCCCAAGATCAGCAACCTGGACATAGCTTTTGCTGTAGATGCTGCTATGCAGCAAATGGTGGAGGCCAATGAGGAGAAAGCATGGGTTTTGGCTGGCCTCAGGCGCAATGGATTCCTTGCACTCAGACCTGATGCCACAGGTAAGATGAGATGGTGTGGTGAAGAAGATTGGGCTCAATCTCTGTAATCTGGGTCACCAAATTGGGCATCCAATATTTTGCACCAATCCAGCCAATGATCACATCAGCTCTCTTTGCCTTTGCCTTATCACTTCTTCTCATGGTCTGCAGCTGCTTCTGTGCTCTGGAGTGGGACCTCTGCAAAGATCTGCATGTGTAGGAGTCCTTATCATCCAGCTGATCCATCTCATGCTGCAGCTTTTGCTGTTCCTCTTCAAGAAGCATCTCCCATTTCCAAGCGATATGGCGCTTGAGAACAGCATGTCCATGACATCTCTCCATGTCAACCCATGTGGCAACCTTGTCCACCAAATGTGGAAACTCTCTCTTGGCTCCTCCTCCTGATGCCCTCAATCTCTCTGCAGTCTTCTTCTTGGCTCCTTTGCCAAGCTGCTTTTGCTGCTGTCATGCTTGGCGCTCTCATCAGCCCATTTGCTTCTGGAAATCCATACTGCTTTGAGCTGGTCAGCTCTGATGGAATACTTGCCTGCAAAATCTCTGATGAGCTCTGCTTCAGTTGCATGTTCATGTCTTGCTGCATGCATTTCCATACACACCTTATTCTTGACCTCCAATGGGATCTCATGCTTCAAAGGCTTCTCATGCTTCTGCCTTACATTGGAGCTGGATCCTCCCAGGACTCCTCTTATCACTGCTTTCTGTGGCCTGCCACCATAGATCCCATTCTTTCTCCCTATCTGCTTTTGTAGTTCATGCATCTCTTGCTTCTTGGTCTCAATGGTCTGCCCTTTGATGGTCAGCTCACCCTTTGCTGCCAATTTTCTAATGACATCTTCTGTGGTCATTCTCTTTTTGCATGGCATCGCGTTCTCAATGGGCAGCTCTGCAATCTCTGGCACATCTGCCAATGCAGTCTTCTCATCACTGGCTGGGCTGAAAAACTTTCTCAATGTAAACTGCTTTTTGGTGCTAGCTGATGCTGCTGATGTGGAAGATTGTGGACTCATGCTGCTTGCCATGCTTTCTCTGGATGGTGTCCTGAAAAGGTTCTTTGGCTCAATTGGGCTCGTGCTTTCTTCTGATGCCTTTCTCTTCATGCTGCTGCCTTGCTTAGGGCTCTCATCTCCACCTCCTACTCTCATCTTGAAGCTTGGTGGATGCTTTTGGGCCTGCCCAAGCCAGAAAAAGAAGGTGTTCTGAAATGGTCGATTTCTTGATAAATCCTTTACTAGAAAATTCAAGTCTGGAAGGTTTCAAAGGGTACCCCACATTTGCCCCTTGCACCCCCAATTAATCAGCCCCCCCTAATTAGTCCGGTCCATCAGCCCCAGCCCCAAAAAAAGACAACCAGGCCTTCTCATGCCTCTTTGCTGTACATGCTTGCAGCTTTTGCAAATGACTCATCTGCATTTTCCTCATCCACCTTTGCTGCCTCATGATTGCCTTCTCATTGATCTCATGCAATGAGATGCTGCTGGAGCTGCTCATGCTCTGTCTCTTTCTCATCTTCTCTTGCTTGTCAAGCTCATGCCAATCAAAGAAAGCATCAGCACACACTCTTCATGTGCATTCTGATGCTCTTCTCTTCTTCATTCTCAAGTGCATCCCAATCAAACATGCCACCATGCTGCTTCTCATGCTCATGCTCATCACGCTGCTGCTCTTGTCTGTCAAGCTCATCCCAGTCAAAGTATGCACTGCTGCATTGTTCATGCTGGTGCTTGTGCAGTTTCTTCTCATGTTTTGCTGCCATCCTTGCAGCTTTCTCCATGCTCCCCATTGCTTGCTGGAAATGCTTTGATCTTTGGTGCCTCATGCTTGTTATCTTCATCCTGATGTATTTGCTCAGGCTGGTGTTTCTCTTGATCTTGCCATGCCCTTGCTCCTCATGATGCTCCTTGTGTGTCATCCTCATTTTGCTGCATGTTTTCTTGCAATTCTGTGCATGCTTCTTGCTTCCCTCCTGAATGTGCTTGTCATGCTCCATGTGGCTGGTGATGCTGGCACAGCTGAATGCTTCCTCATGCTGCTCCAACAAATCCCCATCAAAGAACATGTTGCTGCTCTCATCACTCATAAGGTCTTGGCATTGATTGCCAGCATTGCCAGCAATAGTGCCACCCATGCCCTCATCAATCTCATAGGCCAATGCTGCAAACCGATTCTTCAATGGAACCATTGCCCACATCAGAAAGATCAAATCAGCAATAGCCTGTCTCCATCCTACAATGAGCTTTCATTTGGGCCATACAGTTCAATGCGCATGCAACACTAGCAACAACATGCTCAACTCAACACAGTGCACCATCAGAAACTCAATCTCCATGATGACTAATGAATTACTGTAGAAGCAGAATTCATGTTTTTTGCATCCAGCTGCATCCTGATCAGAAATACTAGCACCATGCCCAGCAGGTTCAAAATTGAAATGGCCAACATTTAGTTTATCTCATTGTTTAATCACATGGTTAACATTCACATCCCCACTCAATGCACCATGTGCTCTCATGGCACATGATCTTGAGAGCAAGCATGCAAATCCTCATCATGCTGATGCATGGGCTCATTCCATCGAACATGCCACCTCATTTCTTCTCATGCTTCTCCTCATGAGATGAAGCATCTCCAAAATAGTGATCATATATTGGAGCAATGGATGGCTCAGGCAATCCCTTCATCATCTTCATAGCCTTCTCCAGCTTGCAATGGTCGTTGCCAATGGCAGTATGCACTGCAGATAGCTCATGATAGAACCAGTCATTCCATCCTGGATTAGCCATTGAACATGCAAACACTCATGATCTCTCATCACTAATGACTTAGAGCATGCAAGGCACTATAGTCAGAATGGGGCTGTGTCATCTGATCCCATTCATCTGTGCCATAAGCACATGGACTCATGATGCTGGTCCTGAATTCAATCTAATTAATTACAATAACAACAGTCATGCATGACATGTAGTGCACTAACTAATGTGCATTAACTGATGCATCGCACTTATCTCACCAAGTGGCAATCGGGCAGCTTCCATGTTCAACCCTATCTCATCGATCACTTCCTGCAGTGTGGCTCCATTGTCATTCCTCGTGTCCCAGACTTCACCTTAATTTGGTGATGCAAAGCAATGATAATCATTTGATCATGTCCACTCATTTGGTCATGCTCATATGGTCATGCCCAGGTGCTCTCATCAGGCTTCAATACCATGTGGATGGCTGCACATGCCACCTGGAGCCCAATGTGCCTTAGTTAGTCTCATGTGTGGCCCAAGCTGATACCAAAAGATACAACCTAACTAATCATTTGATTAGTGCACTACTCAACCTGCCACTGTTTAGACATGTTGCAAATCTCAATCCATGAGTCTTTGCATGCACCATGCACGCACACATCATGCTCATACAGGAGCCATGTCCTCATTTGGGATGTCCTCTTCTTCATAGGGCAGCTCCTTGATGCCCAGCCTAAGTTGCCATCAACTAATCACTGAATGGATTGCATTGGCTCAGCTCATATCAGTTCATGTATAATTATTGCCCAGAGGCTCATGCACACCCATCCCCTCAAGCTCAACAATCTGCCCTTGAGATGCCTGGATCGATCCCTCACTCCTCCATATTTCTCATCCATCCTGGCAAGAACAATGAATAATGTGTTTAAGTGCATGAAACCCATGTCATGTTTGAAGCATGTCCTCATTTCCAAATTGCTAATCTTCTCACTGCACATTTGCACCCTGCTGATCATCTTGTTGATGTACATCATCATGTGGAAGCATATCCACAAGGCCATGCCCATCACCCATGTGAGTGTAATGATCAATCTCATGTCCTCAATCAATCAGTGCAAATGCAAACAAATTGATTAACATGTGCAATGCCCAAGCTTAATTGCCAAGGCTCAGGACGCTGCCATGCCATTTGAATGCTGCATGCCAGCATGACCACCAGCAGCATGGCCTTCATGCTCATCATAGCCATCTGCATGGTCTTCAGGGTTTTCATGGCCATCACACTGATCCAATCAGGATGAGGCTATGCTTCTATAGCTGATGAGCTTATTGCAGCTGCATGAAGCAACTGTAGATCAATCCATGTTTCAGCTCATGTTTCAAACCAGTCCACATGTTTCAGCTCATCCATGGTTTCAATTGTTTCAACTCATGGTTCAACTCATGTTTCAACTCATGCTCACCTGGTACCTTGCCCCACCAGCCAGCCCATGCTTTGGCATCTTGCAACTCTGATTTGCTTGTAATAGTGGAACCCATGAACTGAGGCCCAATTCTGGTCATAATGAAATCCATCAATCAACATATCTAATGGTTCCTGGTCTCATTTGGACACGTCTCAATACAGCTGACATGCGCTGCTGGCATGAGCTCTTGAGAGGTGTGTGTCCAAATATGGGGCCTCAGACTCAGTGGTCCATGAGCCATGTCAAGTTCATGAGCCATGTAATTGTGTCATTTAATATTTCTGCAAACAAAGCATCAACTCACAAAGGCAACTGATGCATGGCTCATGCTCTCATGCTCATCCTCACTCTTTGATATTGATGGGAGCCCCCATTTGCAGCCAATCCCAATATTGCTTAATACTGGGTTCTGGCATATGTGCCATCTGGCTCATGGCCATTGTCATGTTGGCATCATCATTGCCAATGAACTCCTTCAGGCATGTCAGCTCATGGTGGATCCAATGGACCAATCCTTAGGTCCCATGATAATGCATGAGGACATGCTAGTGAATTAATTAACTATTTGGTCAATAGCATGCAAATGCTGCATTATTTATGATGCCAAGCCTCCAGTGCCATGAGCATCGCTCATCATGTCTTCAAAATGCTGGCTATGTTGGCTAATGGGCTTGAAGATGTGTGTCATGGTGGCAGCTTTCATGTTGCGCAGCATCTCATCCTGAAGCTCATGGAATGTTGCATCCTCATCATTGAAGCTATTGAAGATCTCACCTCAGTATTACAAAAGTGATGCAAATTCAATGCATTCTCTTTCTTGAACTGTTAATGGTCATGCTAATTGTTTCATGCCAAGTCACTGGTATCTTTGCTAAGCATCATTCTGATGAATGTGCATTGCATCTTGGTCCATGCCAGCGTGCCTTAATCACTTGCAAAACACAGGTCATAAATTCCCAAACATGATGCTACCCATGTGCAAATGTGTTCTACATGTTTACTATTTGCAGCAATGGCTCAAATCTCTGCCCATGGTGCTTTCAATGATGCACACATCCATGCATCATACTCCACGAGCAGCCATTTTCTCGCCAAACCCAATCTCTTCTCATCACTGCATGTCCTTTTCTGCCAATCCTCCAGGACCCACCTCCTGATGTCTCTGATCCTCGCATGCACTACAAATTTCATGGAATCCCATTGGGGGGGCCATGCAAACTCAATTCCAGATCTCAAAAGGAAGCCCCAGCAATACTAAATCAAATGGAAACTCAATTCCAGATCTCAAAAGGAAGCCCCAGCAATACTAAATCAAATGGAAAATTCTCTCAAAAGGAAGCCCCAGCAATACTAAATCAAATGGAAACTCAATTCCAGATCTCAAAAGGAAGCCCCAGCAATACTAAATCAAATGGAAACTCAATTCCAGATCTCAAAAGGAAGCCCCAGCAATACTAAATCAAATGGAAACTCAATTCCAGATCTCAAAAGGAAGCCCCAGCAATACTAAATCAATTGAAACTCAATTCCAGATTATTTAGGGGTCATGGCAAAAAACCTTCCAAAATCTTGCCCCCCCAAAACCTTCCAACCTTCAAGGGGGGGGGGGGGGGGTTACAGACTAATACGGGGTCAACATTACAGCCCAGATGCATCATGCCAAAGCCGCCAGTATTGCTAGCACATGGCCCATCTGCATATACCTTTCTGACTATCCAGCTGCTGCAGTGCCCAGCAAAGCAAACGCAGGATGATAAGAAAGAAACGGATACTCTTGGACGTAGCCAATGCCAAAACATAATGATCATGCGGTGACACCGCATCTAACCACTAAACAATCGCTGCACACCCACACGCCGACTTCAAAAGGGCTTGAAAAACGGCTTGGGATTCTTTGGATGATCTGCGGAACATATACAAACATACATTGAATCCATGCGGCATCCAAGCAAATTATCCAAGCTGCTTTTTTGGAGTCTAGAGTCTAGCACTCTTGGGGACATCAGTTTCAGCATGCGGCGACAGCTGCAAATACTTCCCGCCTCCAACAGAGCTGCGTCAGCTGACACAAATATGACTGCATACGAGCCTACGGCGATGTACCTGAGACACGGGCGAAGATACTCAAGCAGGCAAGCAAGCAACACTGTGCCGCCAGGTCTCGCTGTGTAAGGCATCGTCCGCATCACCTCAATTCAAACGTCGGAACCCGTGACGGACAGAGTTCAGAAGCGGGCTTTGCTGTGTGCACAGAAGGCGCGCACAACTTCTGATTTCCACCTCCTTGCTGACATCTGGTTCATTTTCATATTCAGCATGACGAGATATCCTCGGGCCTTTCCTTGGCTTCCCTTTGCAGCTAAAATCAGGTTCCCTGGAACACTCAGACAAGGGCATTGGAGGGTAGCAGCCATAGGTCTGAGCGCTCCTGGCCGAAGTATGCCCATCGGCACATGGCCCCTTTTAAAGGCTCGTGACGCACGCCTCCGAATGGGCAACCCTGGCAACCAACCCAAGCAGGAAGCAACGTGCCCTGATGTCTGAGACATACTTCACCCCGCCCCTTGGCGAATCTTTAGGTCCAAAGCCTCAGCAAAGATGCCACAAAACCCCTGCATGCTGAAACTGATGTTCCCAAGAGTGCTAGACTCTAGACTCCAAAAAAGCAGTTTGGATAATTTGCTTGGATGCTGCATGGATTCAATGTATGTTTGTATATGTTGCACAGAACATCCAAAGAATCCAAAGCCGCTTTTCTCTTTTCTGCACAAGCCCTTTTGAAGTCGGCGTGTCGGTGTGCAGCGATTGTTTACAGGGACCCTGTTTGTCAATGCGTGCCGCCTTAGCAAAGTCTCGCCAAACAGGCTCCGCTGTTTCCAGCCATATGCCTGAACCGGTGCCTGTTGAGCTGCATGCAGCGTGCCCATGGCAAGGCGAGTGGAATCGATCTTTTGGCCGTTTCCGTGGGCTCACAAAATGCACACCATGCGAATGCCGCATCCGGCAGGCTGTGGATGCTTGAAGCTGACGTGTTGATTTGTTTTTCTCCTTTTTTTTCCCGCTGCACCAAGGGTGCTCGGAGCTCATTCTTGACAGCCCTCTGATTCAAAATGCCCGCGCAACAGATCAAGTGTCTCAGGTGAAAGCGGCATGTGTGCAGCAGACTTCCTGTTTGCGCTCGTCAAGACGACTTCCGACCGCTTGCAGAAACCGTCGCGCCACTCTGCGTCCGTTCCACGCAATCAAGCATGGCCCGACAACTGCGATATTCCGAAATGTGGGCTCTTCAGCCTTCTTTCCGTCAAGCGCGATTGGTCCAGCAGCCAACACCAAAGCACAAAGCACCACAAAGCAACTCAGGTCCCCTGCTTCCGGCCCCCAAAGTCTCTCTGACAATGGGCTCGGCTTCCAATCGCAAAGGCCTAGGCATGGGAACAGCCATCTGCACTTGAACTAAGGAACCCCCTAGAGAAAAAAGCGCTCATTCTGGGTGAGCTTGGCTTCCCTTTGCGCAGGCTCGCTACAGTTCATGCAAAGCGGGGTCGCGATTGAAGATCTAGTGCCGTGTAAGCCTGCCAAGCATGCGGCTCTTTGTTTTCAGAAGTGGTCGGTTTTCTACTGAAGGGCCGTACTTCAAGGAACAACCTGCGGCCCCTCCTGTAGGCAAACATGGGGTTCAACAGGCCGAACGGAGCTCATCAACCTATTCTACAAGAGCGCGATGGCTTGAAACAAGCAAACGCCGAGGGTTCAAAGCATTCTGGGGCACAGGCAGCGGCCCATGCTCAAAGTGTCCGGCTGCCGGAAAGTGTGGCACCTGACATCTCAATTGTCAGCGTGACGCTACCACAAAGACCCTCTGAGCGAACCATTGGCTTCAAGAGCCATGGGCTGGATGATGAGCTGCTGTATTTTGCCAGGATTCATTGAAGTAGACATCTCACGTGAATAAAACATGGCTCAAACACATGAATACTAAACGCATCTGCGCCGATTCTGGCCAGCTGAGGTGCCCGAGGAACCTTCCTGGGCACCACTTCACGCCCTGAATCCAGTGATGCGTCATAGGTTTCCCATCTACCGCCCTGGCTCAAGGCTTGGGTAGGGCCATAGGTTTCCGCCCGCCCTTTGGCGTGAAATGGGGCCACAGAAAGCCACGTTTGCAAGTGCAACGCAGTCCTTTGCAGAGATCTGCACAAAACCACGCGGTCTAAGCGGTCGGACTAGGGGCCAAGGGCAGCTCTCACCCTGGATTGTCATTACTTCCTTTGCATGAGGTTCACTGTCCTCCAGCTGTTTTACCTAAACACCTCCTGGTTTGCACTTTTAATCACAAGAATATGCATGCTGTGGATTTCAAGGTAACTTGGGCCAGCATGAAGCAAGGCTGAAACACCAGGCAACTTGCAAAGTCTGACGAGTCATCCACATCGAAATCCGCCCATCAGAAGCAAACATATCAGCACGGGCAGCGGTCGAAACCCCCAAAGTCAGCGGTTGCTCTTACCCTGGCCTTCTCTATACACCTTGGACAGTTCTTGCGAGCAAGTATTGCGTCTTGAGAAGCCTCGAGGTACTACCGTGACCTGGCCTGGCCCTGCGGGCCCGGCGCTCGTGGCGCTGGCGGCCTCTGAGCTACCAGACCCGGCCAAGCCGCCTGCAACCGAGGGCGAGGTGAGAGATTCAGGAGATCGAAGCACTGAGTAAGCTCATACTAGGCTGTGGGTCGAAACATCTACAAAAATAGCGCCTTGGCACATGGAACCAACAACACCCATACCTGCGCATAAACTAAGTGGGATGACCATAAAAAATAAATAGAGATTGCCAACAGCGGGTGGGCCCGCCTTTCACTTGACGTGCCTGTCTTGGCGGTGCGACTGCTTCGACAGGGTTGCTCCTAATGGCCCTACACGGGTGGACAGTTGTCCCTGGTGAGGGAGACATGTTCCACCCTTGGGCACTGGTCAAAGCAAGCCTTTGCCAGGATTCAACTACTACCAAGGCCAACTCGCACGACCTGAGCAAGGGTGTTCCAAGCCACCCCGCCATTCCACTTGGTTGTCAGGAAATCTTGTCAAGGTGTTAAATCGCTAAAACTCGAGCTTTCTATACCCAAACTAAAATCCAATTCGCTTGTGTTCTTGCCATTCTCTCTCTCTCTCTCTCTCTCTCTCTCTCTGACGCAGCATCGGCTAGCCATTGTCCCGAAGGCTAGGCCATGGCCCCCACAGTCGCCTGCGCATGCGGCGGCCAGGCGCCTGAAGTGGAGGCTGCGATCTCTTTGGCCCGGTTTCGGGCGCCCTGTGGATGGTGACGCGAAATCCATAAAGCCGCACTCACCGTTCAGGAACCCCGGTTTCACTGGTAAATGGTATTGTAAATGGTATGGTTTCACTGATTTGATGCCACTGGTAAATGCCAACAAATGGTATGGTTGACCATGGTTTCAAGGCGGTGCGAAATGGATTTCGTCCAGCCACAGTACGGTTGAACTGTAATGTGTCGACATCGTCCCTGCCTTGGCCTGCGCCCCACATTGCCGCATGGAGAGCAGGCAATCGTCTCAATGTCAAAAACACGACCTTTCCTGTGCAACCTTGCCACAAGGTATGAACCAGCGAAACAGGTGCTTTGATTTTCCTCCAAGCCCAGGATGTGCTGCCTCTTTCGCCCTTTCAACCCCTACATGTCGACTGCTATCACCTGCCCGAGCCTGAAAGAATAGTACTGCGTGCACAAGCTTGGAGCGATCAGCCTGTTTTGCCTTGAAGCCGAGACTCAGTGACACCTGCACCTGAAGCTCCTGGCTGGCTCTCGGGAGGTTTTTCTTTTTCGCGGCGCGGTGGCCCTAGAAACGACCGCCGCAAAGAAGCAAGGCTCCTCTGCATGCGTGAGCTTGCAAAGCTGAACCAGCAAACATCTGGGGCTGAGGATCTTTTCTTGCGGACTACTCCTTGTGCGTAAATGCGATGTCAGCTGGTTGCTTGCAGCGCCTTTCATCCCGAAATACGCCTGGTACGTATGAATCGGGGACAAAGGCAGGCAAAGTTCACTCCATCTGACTCCATCTCAGCCTGGGAAGGTGCCAAGTGCGGTAAAGCTTGCGTGGAAGGCTTGTGGAAGCAATCGCTTGCATGTGATTCTCCTCACCTTGCTTGAAGGTGTTGTCCAAAAGTGCGGCGCCACCATCCGCGTTTTCATCCAGGGTCTTACCGATTTCAACCACGGGACCGTGACAAAGAGTTCTTCAGCATAGCCTTTGGATTGCCAAAGCATGCTGCCAGCGGGATGCGCAACATAGGCATGCACGAAAGCGCGCTTTTGTGCTGCCGGGTTCACAAACCAGAAGTAGAAGCCTCACCCTCACTAGCAATTCATTCCACCCCATCTGAGAATCTGCAATTTTCGCTTAAGCCTGAAGCATCCGAGGCGGAGCCCGCGTCAAAGGACAGGGCCGCCCCCAAATTGGATCTTTTTCTGGTCATGGACGGCAAACGGGATGCGGAAAATCACGCATTGCAAGGAAAAGCTTTGACAAAGGTTGTACGTGCCTGGTGCCTCCAGTCCATGACATAAAGGTTAACCCGACGGGACTGCATGTTCTGCAGCCGTGAACTCCGTTGATTTTTGTATTTTACAGTGTGCGGGGCTTTGCCGCGAGCCCAATAGGGTTCCAACGGGTCGAGGCGGATTCGCCCCAAAAAGGAAGCTGACCAATGCGCAGGGCCTCGCAAGTTTGCCCCGCGTGTGCCTCAAAAGCCGTGCGAATGGGCAATCCACGCCAGCCTGAGCACCTGATGGCACATGTCTGAAGCAAGGCGTCTTCATGCGTTGAGACGCAAAGCTCATCTTCCACAACAGGCGGGGTGCCAAGCCGTTGGATGCCCAAAACTGTGGATAAACTGTGTCCGCCGGCGTTGCGTCGTTTTACGATGCCACGCCGTGTTCATCGCATGTGTCTCTTACAATGGAAACCGGCAACACTCTGCAGTGCACGCATGCGGGTGAATCATACGCGTTGTCTCTTGCCAGGATTGGGATGACGGGGACTCGACTTCAAATCAGGTTCCTCCTTATCAGAAAGCAAAAAGTAAAAAACAAAAAGAGAACACTTGGCAGGTACTACACGCGCATACGTGCCCTGCGATTCATTGCTTGCTCACGATGTGAGGCTTGCATTTGCATTGGCGCCGCGCCGCTTGGCAGCCATCCATTCACCAGTTGCGCTCAAAATCCTTGTGGCGGAGTATCGCTTTTGCTTTGCCAGCTACAACTGCCACACTTTACACAGGTCAAAATCCAAATCGTACCCCCAGTGAGCATCCCAATCCAACCACTAAAATAGGTTCTAAAATGGGTGGTGAATTCACCTACCCCAAAATGGTACCATTGGTTTTGACCCACAGCCACTTTGCAAATGGAGCCTGCAAACATCTGCAAGCAATGCTGAGGCCTGGCGTAACCATGATCTACCAGGTCGTCCAGTAGAGAGGTTGGAATAAGGGTAGCCGAATTTTCTGTAGTCTATTTTAGGGGAACCGAATCTCCCCCAAACAGGAACGGAAAAAGGGCACTGGACCTAGTCTACCTTGTGCCTGGGATTTGGGGCGCTTAAATGGACTGCGCATCCTGCGGCAGAGGTATCGGCTCTTTGCGCTCCGTAGGCCTCCCACAGGCCAGCGCCTGAGGCGTTCGATGCGCGGCAGACAGTGGGTCTGGTGGATAAAATATGGCGGGTGAAAATGGAACCAGAAAAACCGCCAGGTTTTAGCCCCTGGTCCATGTACCAGGGCAAGCCATTTTCGGTACCGATTTTTTTGACCCACAGGCATAATATGTCCACCTCACCTCCCACAAACAAACATTACAGTGCAGGGAAGGCTGCTTGCTGGTTGGAGAGGGCGGCCTGTGCACTTCCCTATCTGCTGGTGGGAGGGTAACCGACTTTGTGACCTTGAATGAATTTTACTTCCACATAAGTAGGAAATCAAAAGGGTCAAAGGTGGGCTTTGGATAATTTAGTTCCTCTCAAAAATGTAATGTCGGGAATAGGAATGGGAGGCTGCAACAATCTGCAGGTTGATCCGCCAATTGGAAGCGTGCTCATATACTCCCTGTTGGAAACAAACCACGCATTTTGCACGTCAAGCAGCGCTCCAAACGTGTCGATAGGTCCGAAATTAGGAAAGTCTGACCCCGGAACCGGGGCATGCAACCACCGGGTCTAGCTCAGCTCTTGCCTCAAGTTGCAGGTGCTGCCCAGTGACCGTGCTGGCGCCCTGAACACTGTGGCCACGCTCGAACCCATTGAGCCTCGGTGGCACAGCAACGCGCGCCGCGCGCCACGTTGCGATTGAACTTGCAAAGACTGGGGTTAGCTAGCTAAAGGGGGCAGGGTACTAAGTGGTTGGCAAGCTTAGTTATAACCCACTTGGACTTATAACTCTTGTGGCCATAGTAAGTGGGTTATAACCAGGCTTACTTACTAAGTACCCTGACCCTTTTGAGTGGCCCAATGCTCCTGGCTTGCCGAAAAATATATCAGCAAGGCCCACACCCATCTATCTGGCGCTCGGATGCACTCTGGCGCAACACAAGCAGTGTCACAGCGAGTGGGCCCCGATGCAAGCAAACGCCTCCTCACACGAAGACTGCAAGCGCACTTCACCAGCCAAGCAGCTGCTTCTGCAAACGGTGAATAAGAACCTGTCAGTGACAATCTGGCGACGTTGAACAGCAAACTACAACTAGTATCTGTTTCAAACTGCTCAAAAGCGGCAGGTGCACACGCTACTGTGGATGGACGAAATCCTGCACCACTGTGAAACCATGGAAACCGTGATCTCTCTCTCTCTCTCTCTCCATTGTTTGTTGGTATTTCGTTGGCATTTACAAGGAAACCATCCTTCCAGGGTTTTTTAGGTGGTGCGGGATTTCGTCCATCCACGGTATCAGCTAGCACCTTTGCAACTTCAGCCCCTTCACTTCACTGCCAACGGTCATGGACTTCACGTCCAATATGCCGCCCAGCCGCCATGATAAAGTGAACGTCAATGCTGCGGGCGGAGCCCTTCAATCTCAAGCAGCCGTCCAGAAACTCCTGCGCGCCCCGACGGAAAGCATTCAACTAGCCCTAGTGCGCGGCACGTCTGGCCACATGAAAACAATGATAATGCCTGCATTGTACTGTCTCCCACTGCACATGCACGAACCGCCCAAAACATCACAAACAAACCAGCCAACTGCACACATGTTCACATACCACCATCTTACGCATTGCAAGAAACCCGAAACAGCCAAAGGGCCCGCAAATTGCAAAATGCTACACTGCCCTGAGATACACAAACACACCGAGGTTGAGTGCAAGCAGGTGATAACGCTTGCTCACATTCACACAGCATGCAAAAAATGGTGAGCCCACTTGCCAACCGCACGCCGCTCACAACCCCACGCTTGATGATAAACCCAGCTGCGCCCGCCCAATCGCACTGCTCACAAAACCCGGCAAACAGCAAGCAGCAACCCAACAACTGCCTTCAGCTGCCAATCCCGGTGATACATCATGAAGAGGCAAGGTCAATGCATATCAATGCATAGGTGCGAAAGCCCAACTGTTTCCAAGGCGTTACCCTCCCCGAAGGCGCCTCAATGTCCACGGTTCCAGACCTCGGCTGGGAAAACGTCTGATTGGGCGAGGGGAAAAAACAAATATCCTTAACACACGCCCGTGCTTTTCGCACTGAAGAAAAGCGAGAGAAAGGGGTTGCAAAGGATCGCCTCATTGAAACAGACTCTCCTTGCGGACTTCCAACTCAGGAGGCTTTGCAAGTCAAAGAATTCTAGGCAACTCGTTTCCGCTTTCCAGTGCGTCAGGTGGCCCATCCGTGTCCAGCAGAGTAAAAAGCCGCACGCAGTCGTGTGCTTCAAAGCCTGGTGCCGGGCGGGAAAATGGCAACCTTGACGGCTGAATATGGTCCACGTTTTTTGCGGGTGCTTTTTTTTGGGTAGTATCGCGGGAAGCCAAAAAAAGGGTTCCCATGCTTTGCGACAGACTCGGCTGGACAATGGCCAAATTTCTGAATATGGAGGCGGCTTTCTGCCAACCCCAGCGCTGTAGGCGCCAGCAGGTCTTAGCTTCTGGTTGATTCATTGGGGGTGCATCGCTTTCCACAGCACACTCTCTGCGAATCCACCAGGCTTGGAAGACAGGCTTCATGTCGGTTCCGAGCTTCTCGTGTTGCTTGGGTTGACATGACGACGTCAGAACTTTTAGCTCCTTCGCTGGGGCTGGTCCAATATAGTTGATGAAACAAAACAACAAACACAGCGAGTAACAACCATGAGCCACGGTCAACATGTCGGTTGCCTAGTGGCTTATTTTGGAAAATCGGCGAGTCCCCCATGTCCCTGCGGAATTGACAATAGACTACTAGGCTTATTGAGCCCGACTCACATGGCGTGCACCCAAACCGCTGGTTGAAGACTGCTTATGCATGTAGCTTAGAAGGTAAACAACTGCAAAACAGCCAGCATGGCTCACAGAGGGTGTCCATCTCGGGCCAGTTGTCATTTCTGTCCTGGCGGCCTGGCGGTGACTTGCAGCCAAGTCTCCCATGGCAGTGAAGTACGCAGCCATCTTTGGATCCTGTTGCCAAGAAAAGGCTCACGGCGAATATCGAAACATGACAGCTCGGTCCCTGTCAATGCCTTGGGGCATGATGTTCCTACCAGCTTCTGACCTAGGATTTCATATATTTCCCTTTAAGATGTTACCCCACGCAAATTGAAGAAACTGGAACATGGCAAGCCGAGGACAACCTAAAAAACACTACTTCGGGACTTGCTGTCCTTGACCAACTGCTGCATCTCTTCTGCAGTAAGTGTGCCGGACTCATCGTCGTCCATGTGCCAAAAGAGGTGTTGCAGCCTTGCATGTCGCATGGATGGGCCGCACGGCAACTGTGTTCTTGGTGCTGGCTCCGGGAAGGTCCTCGCATGTCACAAAGGCTGGGAGTCTGCCGAAAATTGGACACGGGACCGCGCACTAGCCACACATGTGGTACAGGAGCCAACCCCCCTGCAACCCAAACCTTGGACGTCTCAAAGCTGCGTGACAGAATCCTGCCGCCAACTTGGAAGCAACTGCCAGCTGGCTGCCATCCGCTTGTGCTGGGAGTTCCCTCGCTCAGCCGTTTGGGTGCACTTGCCACATCTCTGCGTTAACATCGCCAGCTTCACACAATCATGCAGAGAGCTTACTAACCCGCCGGGCTGGAAGCCGTCGGGTTTTGTTGGACCAAATCTGTGTTTCGCTCAGTGCTTCCTCTCGTTTCATCCCAAAGCACACTTGAAAAAAACGATGCAATTTGTTGGTCCGTGTTCTTACTTCGCTTGCAGGCGCAGCACTAAGGGTACCTTTTTTGCTGAGCCCGGCAAAGGTGTCACTTCAATCAGGCAAATGTGTTACTTCAATGGACCAACATGCGCATGGCTCGCAACAGTGTTTTGAGCACGTCGCAATGAGATCTGGAAAAGGGTATGCGCCAGCGGCTGAAAAAGGTATGCTTAACATTTGGCTGGCATGGATTCAGTGCTGAACGGGTGCGCGTGAGCTACCATTTGGCTGGCGTGGATTCAGTGCCGACGGGTGCGCGTGAGCGGGTGTGCTTAGCATTTGGCTGACATGGATAGAGTGCTGAGCGGGTGCGCGTGAGCGGGTGTGCATTTGGCTGGCGTGGATACAGTGCCAAATGGTGAGCACGCCCGCTCACGCGAACCCGCTCAGCACTGACTCAATGCCAGCCAAATGGTAAGCACACCCGCTCACGCGCACTGGCATGGATTCAGCGCTGAGCGGGTGCCCGTGAGCGGGTGCGCGTACCATTTGGCTGGCATGGATACAATACTAAGCGAGTGCCCGTGAGCGGGTGTGCTTACCATTTGGCAGGCATGTGTGCAGCGCTAAAGCGAAAAGGCCAAAACGAAAAGCAGTTGCTAACACGGTTTTGCAATGACGGTTAACAGCCCGACAGCACAATGCAGAGACCTTCGTCACATCCCATCGATTGTCATGGGAGCTGATAGACAGCACGCATGGGGCAAACCTTCACGCCGCTTCTTTTCACCGAACCGAAGGCCGCCCAAAAAAAATTCCCTGCCTTTAGGCTTCCCCATAAAAGGGAAAACGGAACCAGAAATGGAATTCCAGGTACCCCCGTCCCCCAATTCCATTTTTAAGGGGGTGGGAATAGAGGCATGACCCCCCCCCCAAGCCGAGTCCCAAGCTCTTTGATGTACTTCTCTTTGACCTCGCGCTCCTGTCAGCTCGCGGCTTCGAGGCAAAAATGAATGCCACGCGTCGCGTACAATTTGAGGGTCCCTTGGTACCTTCCAGGGAAGTACTTTGAGCCCTTTTTACCCCCCAAAAGCCATCCTCAGGAGGTACTTGGACTCTCTGGGTTACAATTTCTAGCTCACTGCACATGCGTTCGTCCTTCTCGATCATGTAATCCCTCTGCGTCTTCGCTGTGACCACCGCGTTATCCACAAACACACCGGTTACAATGTTCAGGACTGCCTCAGATCTGCCGAGGCGGAAACGACATCACTCCCCCCGGGCGGAGCGCAACCAGCCCTTCAAATGCTCAGCTCCCCTTAAAGCTGCGCCAAGTATAAGTCATCCTTTTCTGCAACTGCAAGATGCGGCCGCCTGTCTGTTTCGAGCAGTTCTTGACTTTAGGTCAACCCCCTACCAGGCGTGCACAGAAGGGCCCAAACATACAATGACCAGCCACATCAAGCATGCATGCCAAGGACCAACAGGGTGAAGAGCACGTAGAAAATGAATAGCCTTGGTGCGATCCGGCGCCATGCTCACCGGTAGCGACGGCGGTCCTGCATGGACCATTCTACACAGAATAGCTGAGACGCGCCGCAACCCAAGGCCCAATGCATCGGGGAAGCATGGGTGAGATTGTGTCCATTTGCAGCAGCATGTCGCCTAAGCAAGAAAAAAAACACGCTGCCTCAATGGCGGCGCAGCTGAAGTACAAACAACGGCAGCTGCAGGCACGGTGCAAAGAATGCCCCAGTTGATGCCGCCCAGCATAGATCGCAGAAGGCTGTAAGTTGTGGCGGGCAGCGTGCCGAAGTTCTTTTGAATGTCCACCACCTCGGACATCCGAAGCGTGCCGCAGTCCAGATTGAAACCTTTGGGGGCCGCTTGCCGGCAAAAATCGATGTGTAAGACCCTCGGCCTAAACACCTGTGTTGTTGGGAGTCGCTTTGACATCACAGCCAAGGTGCGTTCTGATGAGAGGAATTGGCCAGATCGCTGAACCAGTCCTCTCCTTCCAAGCCAGCGAGTTGTTTCAAGTTTTACCTTCAAAGGGAAAGCCAAGTTACAGTGGTCCAGTTTGGGGACTAGAAGTGAAGAACATGGCTGGGAACACCATTTTGTCCTGACTAACAAATGGCGCAAAAGGAACTGATGCCAAAGCGCCTCTGCACTCAGTGATGCACCGGAGCTCGATGCTAATCAAGCTGAGCATCGTGACACATCTGCGTAGACTCTCAAGTAGAAGGTGGCATTGGTCGTAAACCAAACAGCGAATACGAAGATCCTGAGCGGCACATAGGTCAAATGTCGCTGCAAAGCTGCAGAAAAGCTGCTTTGACGGCCCGCCTCTTGCTGAACATAAGTCGTTGACTTGCAATCCGAGCAAGTCCTGAGGGCTGCCCGGCCTTTTGGGCCAGGCCACCCCACAGCAAATCTGAACAACTAGGTCCTCTAGTAAAGAGGTTAGAAAAAGGGTACCCTTTTTTCTGTAGTCATTTTAGTAGGGCCTCCCCCCCCCCAAAAAAAAAAGGTAAAAGGGCACTACTGGGGGACCTAGACAAGGAGGCATAACTGCCAAGCTGCATCAGCAACAGCATGAGTAGTGCCTTGGATGCACAGTCTTCGACTGCAAATTTCTTGCGACGTTGGAGCCAGGAAACGACTGGTGCTGCGACACTGCGACAAGCAGTACTGAACAATGGCCTCCAAAAGTGTACCAAGTGCATCTGCACTAACCCAACCTGGCTCGAAAAAAACATAAACATGTGCCTGCATGCAATCTAGCTGGCTCCGGGCTCTTTGTTGAACCAGCGAGGTTTCAAGACTGCGCCTTCCGAGTTTGTTTTGTCCAGGGGAGCCCCTTTGTATTTCCGGCCCCTGCTTCTTGGAGCTGTTGTTTCGTTTCAGTCGAGAAAACTGGGTCCCCCCCCCCGTCCGCCCAAATTTGCGCGGTGACTTGGGATTCATCTCTGGCCGTCGGAGCCGGCCGCCGGATCTGCCAGGCGGCCCACATCAACGAACGCATGGAGTCGATGATCATCATCGCCATGAGTGACAACTCCCGGGAGAAGCGGAACTGGGAGGTGCGGAAGACAAATTAGCTAGCAAGTAATGATTTGTCATGATCAACAGATACCTTGATCTTCCAGGACCCTGGAAAAGCAGGCCTTTGGCCGATATTCCATTTGGAGCCAAGATCAAAATCAAGAAAGATCCTGGTTTTGCGGGTCCTTGGAAGACCAAGGATATTGTTGTGTCATTAGTTCACCTCTTCTATCAATATCAGGCAGTTTATCGCCAAGGGGACAAGCCGAATGTTATTCTACTGCTCCAGCGAGCTGGTTAAAACCACCTGAAAGGAAATACCTGGACCTCTGGAGGAGCCAGTCTGCCGAACGTCAAGGATTGGCATGTCGATTGCAAAGCATGATGCGAGCCGGCCAAGTCGCCACGCGGAAGATGCGGGCAATTCCTCGGAGGGCCAAGGTCATAGGTGTCCTTCTGGAAAAATAGATGGACATGGTAAATGGAAGGAGGCCCAATCTCATCTAAACCCGGGCCATCTACTTTTCGCCAAACTAATCTAAAAAGGACACCTATGGCCAAGGTCGATAAGAACTCCCTCTCTTATCCAGTCTCCGCTTTCGGTCGCGCAAGAGGAAATGGCGACGTTGACCGCGAAGCTTAGGGCTTGTAGTTCCAACCTTCCCAACCTTCTGTTTAGATGTGTTTCATTTTGCGTGCTTGGTTTACCAAAAGTCTGTCAAAGAAACCGTGTGCCCCAAGCCATCGCGACTGGCAGGTAACTCAAATCATTTAATTCCATCACCTGACTAGTCTCGGAAGCAACCGGGTGTCAGGCGTTCTCGTGGCCAGGTGCGAACGCACAACTTTCTTTGGAGGAGTTCTCTTGGCGTTTTCGGCCGGCATGGCCGAGCATCGCAGCATCTTGAGGATCTTCACCGCCTGCAGCACGTCCATGGTGGGGTCCTCACATCGCACATTACTTTTGGGCAAATCATTCGGGGTTGCTTGCTTGGCTGGAATTGGGACTGCTAAAATAATTAAAATCGATATGTTTTGCCTGGTGAGTGGAAAACAGGGACCCCCAAAACAGCAAAACAACAAACAGGGGAGCCAATTTGGCCCTCTCAACACGCCGAAACATCCACATGGCTCATACACTAGCCCAACAAGAAACACACAGGGACCCAGTCCAAACAGAAATGGGAGTAGAGGTATGGCACAACACCCAACTCCATAAGGTATGAATCTTGAGTGTGCAATTGAACATCCTCTTTTGTGATACTCGCATGTGCCGTTCCTACGATTAAAATGTCAATCACATGGTCCAAAGTCTCATTTTAACTGGCTATTGAAATGCCGTGCTTGATCCCAAAAAGGGGCCCGCTTCGGGCCATAGAATCTCTCGCTTCACCATGGATCAAACAGGGCTCCCTGATTTGTCCCCTTTGACACACATCACCCCACCAAAAAGGAAGGTCTTTCAAAAGCCTTTGTCTCAAACCACTTGGGGAAAACTATTGGGGAGTGTCCACAGCGGGCGGTAAAAAGGCCCGGCGAAGCCAGCTCCTGCGATGCTCGAGTGAAGACTGCGGATGCCACGTCGATGAAGGAGACCAGCACAAGGCAGAGGTCGAAAATATTCCAACCTACCGTGGGAGAAGTTGCCTTTCGCAAGAAACTGTGAGAAAGATGAGGATGGCAAATGCTATTCGAGTACACCTGCCGCTGCTGCTGCTGATGCTGCTGAGCTTTATGGCACTGGCCGTTCGGGATTGCGCCACGCCGAGGTGTGACCAACTGCGTCCAAAAGGTCCCACTTTGTGAGGCAACGCATACAGGGCTCTGCCATATTGACCGTGGCCAAGAGACCAACAGAGAAGCTGGCTTTCAGAACCATGAAAGATGTGGATGGCAAACATTATTCCAGGACAGCATTTGCAATCGCGGCATCATGACAGCAGCGGCAGCAACAAGAGCGGCAGCAACAACAGCGAGCAATGCCAACACTGGCAGCAACAACTGGTGCCACAAAAGCATCAGCGGCAAACAGCGTCATGAACCACCGCCGCGTACGCAAATACACACAGCAACACTAGGCAACACCAACCCTGACGAACACGATCGCCGCCGAGACCAAAACTTGACAGCGTCGATCACGACACAACCGATGCTGCACTAGCAGCCAATGGCGTGGCTTCATACAGGTCTCAGGTTCCGGCGAAGGGCTCCCGCCAACATGGGCCCCGTGAAAACCAACGGCTGGACTTCAAAGGAGAATCGGAGTCAATCAATCCGACAACTGCGTAGACTGACACTACATACACATTGGGCTTTGCTGCTGCCGCCGCTGCAGAACAAGGGGTGCAACAAACTAGTGCGACCATGTAGAGACTCCTTGGCATTTAGAATGTAGAAGGAGCATGCTACAAGGTGAGAGTAAGCAACGATGCTTGTCCAAAGTCGTCTTGCTGCGTATGATCGAGCCTATTGTAATTCTCCGGGCCAAGAAAACAAACCCAAAGAAGCTAACAAAATCCTTTGGCCGTCAAACGGCGGGACACTTCCAATCCATCTCTGACACAAAGACCTTTCTACCCATCGTGGTCTTTGGGTCTTTGGCCTTTCAGGCCATCAGGTGGCTAATGGCACTGCATGTGCATCGCCCCTTGCGCCCCGGCCTCTGCTTGCAGGATGCCTGAAAAAGCTCAGCCCATACCTGAAGACACGCGTCGCAAGGTCAACCAAGTCGCCATCTTTGCTCGGCAACTTGCCATGCTCGAGCGGCCGCATCACAAGCGGTTTGGGGGGTTGCCTCTGGGTCTTGCCATGGCTGGTCATCGCAGCCACGCCTTTCTATGCCCTCGACGATCGAAAGTCTAGAATCCCGATCCAGGGCAAAACTGGCATCTGCCGTGCGGGCAGATGAACGCCAACTGGAGCCCAGGCTTGCTGTGAAGAGCAAAGAGTCCACAGGGTTGACCACAACCACGTGGAAAAGATCGCTTTCGAGGAACTTGCAATAATCATCAAAACACGTTCGCAAGGCGAAAGGGAGCTTCATCTTACAAACTAGCTGCCAGTTCCATTCAAAACTGTGTTGAGCCCGTACTTACTTCGGGCCCCAATAGTTTGAACATGCACCACCCATAGCTTTGAAGCCAATGCTTCCCTCGAGCGACGTTTCCGAAGGCCGAAACAAACAAAAAAAAAAAAAGCACGCGGCTTAGTTGCGCGAGCATCCGGAGGATAAGCTCCACCAGGAAGAAGAAGGAGCAGGCGTAATTCATCACCTGCCGCGAGCGCTCTCAGCCGCCCATTGCCCCTCGAGCCTCAAGCCTGGCGGACCGAAACCACAGACAAGCCCTCACTGGCTGAGTGGATGGCCCAAACAAAGCCCAAACTTTGCAAATTTGCCACGAAACTAAAATGGTCTTACCGAAAAGGTTTTAAAGTTCATGAACTCAGGAAGTGAGGCCATAATCGCAAGTGCCAACTATGACATGCCTAACCCTTTAAGGCAACACACATCAGTTGCGGCGACGCAGCTGCAGCTGACGTAGATGGGTTCCGAACCACCGCGGGCTTTCCGCCTCAAGGGACACCGGCGCGGAGACGCTCATCGCCATCCACTGCGTCTCCACGGCGATGATCACGGAGTTCACCTGTGACCAGCTCAACCGGAAGAGAACCGGTCGGAGCATCGAACAAAGGAATCCGGGTCTCTGAGCACTGAGTGCGCGACCTTTAGGGAGTTTGGGGGTGGCCAAATAAAAAAAAGGCACAGCAACAACTTGTGCCCTGATACGGGACCTGGCGCGAAAAAGTCGGGGCACCCGCAGGGCCAGGCTCTCCAAACATGGGATTGGAGCAGAAAGAACCTATATGCGGGGAGGAACAGACTTTGCAACTCGTTACGACCTTCTGGGCGAGGAAGGCCCGGGGGGGAAAGGCCGGGGGGGGGGGTGCAATCGTGGGCACTTCTCTTGGGTCAACTCCAGAACGGCCGCATACCGAGGTTTCCTGTTCCAGTTGGCCTGAGTTCGGTTTGTTGCTTTCGGTGGTCAAAGTGAACCTTGCTGACTTGAAGGTGGCTCTGAGCAAGGTCAAGTCTCATGCTTCGCCTCGTAGTCAGCCGTATCGAGCCTTTTGGGACAACAAGCAGCATGTGAACCCTTCATGCAACCTTCAACCTGCGTCTTCTTGAGCAGCTCTTCTTGGGCTGGCGGCCTAGTGGCACCCCTAAAAAAGACATCGTGTGGGTAGGGAGCAGTTGACCCTGAGCCCACGGAACCTAAAATCCTGACCGGCAGGTTGGATGATCTCTGAGGATCTCAAAAGATGACTTAAGTGTTGCCGAGTGGTCCTTGGGAGGAGAGATTCATGTTGCCAAACTTTTGCGTGCCATTTGGCAGCCATCTTGTGTGCAAGCGCACGCAAGCACATCCACATGGTGAAAGACCAGGCTCCATCCACGAATTGCCGGCTGCAAGCCCGTTAACACACATCTACATGAAAGCACGCATGAAATCACATGAGCAACCATGAGCAACCCAGAGAGCAAACGAAGAGACACGAAGCAAGCCAACATGCAAAGGCCAGCCTGCATCAACCAACCAACACGCTGTCTACTGATCCCTGAGCCCGCCCTTCAGACAAGAAGCCATAATCATCAGAGAGGCGCACAAATCGAACCTGCATCACATGCGTTCCCACGGGCGATTCTGGCTCTGTGGTTCCCGTGCTCCACTAAGATAGGTTCTACTTCCTTGCCAAGGAAAACGTGCAGGAACCTTCAAGAAGCACTTGAACCCCTAAGCAGGTGCCGCAGGGTTGAATCCACACCTGTGGCTCTCACTGGGCCTTCAGGATTGTAAGGCTCCAAGCCTTGCTCAAATACAACCCCCGTGGTGAGGAATGAAGCGCTTGCAGCTTTCTCCAGGACGAGAACACATTTACCATGCCAAAACAAACACTCAAGAAGGGTTCCGGTCAAAGAACATGGTCTTCCAGGGCGTCCCATTCCGCGATTGTTCGCTGATTGTGGGGGGAAGGCTTTTCAAAATCAGAGCTGCCGAGCAGTCCGCACTGCACCCAAGGCACAGGTTGTGCTGCACAATGCTGGCCGCCAGGTTTCCCTCAGCTCCCAGCTCCGGCTTCGCTCAATCCGTGTGAACAAGCCACGGCCATCTGACATAACGTTTACAGGTTGAGTTTGAACCCAAGCCATCCAAGTACCTTCTAGGGAGGTACTTAGAGCCTTTTTTACCCCCCCAAAAGCCATCCTCAGGAGGTACTTGGACCCTCTGGGCAAGCCAAGGCAAGCGTTGAAGGACCCCGGCTGAGACTTTTTGGCACGAAGCAAAAAAGGTGCATCCAAGTGACCGCCTTCCTAATCTCTGGGCGGCCACTCCAAGATGACAGCCTGACCTCAGATTCAGGGCGCCATGAGCCTCTCCAATGAGATGTCAGCTCCCTTGGTCTCCATTGCGAGATGGATGGCAATTCCCGTTCTCAATGTGGGTCAGACGACGTCCAAATGGGATTAATGCATTAATGCCTTCCACTTTCACGCAACGGTCCCCTGCTCAGAGTCACCCCCCCACCCTCCCCACTCAGCTTTGAATTCATGGGCCCAGATGAATCCTAACCTTGGGGTCGGAGGCCTTGGAGCTTTCGAATCTTTGGCCATTTTACGCGGCGCTGTGCTTGTGAGAAAGCATGGCTTCGGACGTGGTACCCATGACCAAACTGGGCATGGTCTCGTTAAGATGATGCCAATTTATAATACTGGCGCAAGGTTCAAGCAAGGCAACGCAGGCGTTATTGTGCGTCTAAGTGCTTATTTGGGTGTACCTGGGGTCAGGCACTTTGAGAGCCGGGGGGGGATACACCCCATTACGACCACACTTGCCATTCTCAAAATGCCCAAGCCCATGGTTGCGGAAAACCACCCATTCTGTGATGATATACTGAAACTACTTCATTTCATCCTTGGCCAGTCTGAATTGCTCAAGCCCAACAATTGTCCATGCATTACACAATCTGAACACACGGGTTCTTCTCTAAATAGACCTAGCGGGGTTGGTTCTCTTTTTTTCCTCGCTTCAAGCCGTCTGTCCCGGTCCCAGAAGGGGGGGGGAGGTACAGCTGGGCATTACTTCCCACTCAGCTGGGCCGCTCCGTTGTGAGCAGCAAGCTCCGGCAAATGGTAAGCCTGCACAAACGCATCCGGGAAAAATGCGGAGCCTAAAAAGCACTGATACCGGATACCCCTTTCGGAATGCTGCCCAAGGTGGAGTTGCAGGTTAAGTTTCACCGGGGGGACCTGGCGAACGTGCAGGTGCAACTGCTCCAAGGTTGCCTCTGGCAGCGGAACGCGCGCCTTTTTGTGCGTCACCTGCGACCAACCGTCGCTATGTGCGGCAATGTGCAGCACAGTGGCTGGCACTCAAACCATAACAGCCTCCTGCTGCGCAAAGTACGTCTTCACCATTTTCAGAAGGAAGTCGCCAGTGAACCGAAGGTGGTTTCCCGGAGTCGAGAAGAAGTCGATCTTCTTCTGCTGGTCCAGGCTCTTCAAGCCAAACCAGTCTTCCGTGTACCAGGGGGCGTCTTTCATTGCCACAATCTCTGTGCGAGTGCCGTCCTTGAAATACCCGAAGTGCTCACTCTCCTTGGGGTGCACCATGGTGTCATCCTCTGCCATGACCAGCACCAGCTTCTCCAGCGACTGGAAGTTCTTCTTGTAGGTGGCGTTCTCCTGGCCCTCGACCTCGTTGTTGATGTACGGCAGGAAGTGCCCATCGGCCCGGTACTCCTTCAGGTTGGCCGCGTCACGGTAGTAGTTGGCCTGCGCCAGGTGATTCTGCACCTCAGACTTCAAGTGGCGGGGGGTTGGGGGGGGCATCCTGCTTTTGTCTTTTGTCGCGGCTGAAAGGAAGCCATCTGCAAACTTTACTCGAATTCCAGCAGCTGATTTCAGGGATCCCCAAGAAGAAAAAAAACACCAACCTCTCATGGTTTTCGCTCGTTCTACTCCCGACTCGGGTGAGCTCGCTCTAGGCAGCACCATCCAAAATGACCAAAGGCTGGAACCCACGCTGGGGCGCGAAGGAGGTGTACACCCCCGCGTGGGAGATGATGGCGTCCACTGCCCGGCACAAGATGCCAACGCCCGGCACCTCCATGGGGCACTGCGGTAAGCCATTCACCCCCATCAGCACCCCGTGCATAGAGACGAAGGTCTTCACCGGCGGATTGTTGTACCTGAGACTCTGACCCCCCGGCAAAAAACAAAAATCGATGTGTGGGCTCCTTAAGAGGGGAAATCATGGGACTGCTGACCCCCGGCAAAGCTCGATGTTTGGGCTTCGAGCGCAAAAACCAAGGAACCCCAAAGAAGCGTAAAGGGCAAAACAAATGTCATTTAAGTCTGGCCGTGGTACTTGTGGATGTACCCCCGGATCACTGTGTTGCCCTGGGAGAAGCCGATGGCATTGAAGCCAGCCTTCAACTTCTCGTCCGCTTGAACCACCCGGGCGAACTGGTCCACCTGGTCATCCATGGTCATGAAGAAGCCTCAAGCTTCAGCGATGCGTCCCAAAAATGGAGCCCTAGCTCAGCCTACGGAGGTGAGAAGGACCAAACTCGCCCAACCACTCTGAAGCATGTTGACCCCATGTTAATCAACCGCATTTTGTTCATAGGGGGTTCCCCTCCAAATAACTTTACTCCTAGGGTTGATTAATATGGGGGCAAAGTTACA